TTTTTGTTAACTTTGAAAACCATGATAACCAATCAAATTCCATTCTTCTTGTAGGTTTATGCCATGCTCACATTTTAATTACAAGGGTATTTCAGTAAATTTATTTGTTATCTAACTCCTAAACAATTAATGGAGAGTTACAAATCATCAAATCCCAAAAAATATACATTTATAATATTAATAATTTTTTTTAATCTTGATCTTTCATGTTTATTGTTTTATCAGTTTTTAATTCGCATAGAAAACATGGTAGTAAAAATTTTCGGTATCGATCAAGCTAATATAGATAAACGCAATGAAAAATAAATTGACAACAGTGAAAAGATTAAAATGGTTTATGATGACAATCGGAGTTCAAGGTTGGGAATTGAAGAAATTAACTAAAACGAATGTCTTGGTAATAGATTTTTATTTTTTTAGATTCATTTTAATCGCAATTATGTTCATTACGATGTGTTGTGTTTTTTATAACTCATCTTGTATTGATATTTTTTTCTTTAATTATTAAAATACGTACCTAATTCACATGTTCAAATGGAAGTACATGCACGACTCATTTTCATATTGTTATATTACCGACTTTTATGAATCATGAACCATTGTGTTCATGTTACTTCTATCATAAGAACACAAATGTTATTTTTTAAGCTTGATACCAAATCTTTATATTTGTGTAAGTGTTTGCACCCGGTGTTCATAGCGTTGGGGTTATGTGTTCATATATTTTATATGACATGAACAAGAGGTGAACACATGTGTTCATATATTTTATATGACATGAACAAGAGGTGAACATGATATGAACAAGGAGTGAACAACCATATAAGATCAGAAACATATATGAACAAGGGGTGAACAACCATATAAGATCAGAAACATATATGAACAAGGGGTGAACCTTAAACAGTGTGGATGCAATGCATGTATAAAACTCCAATTGACAAAGGATCGCTCCTGGATGTGTTTATAATGAAGGAACTATTGTTCACAAGCTGTTCATATCGTGTTCATATATGTTTTTTATTTATTTTCTTTCGTATAATAGTTATTCTTATTATGTTCATATTGTGTTTATAAATGTTATGCAGTTCAAGTTCATATACATGTCAAATTTTTGTTCGTATTTGATACAATGATTCATATATATATATATATATAGTTGTGTTCATATGGTTCTTCTATTAACAAAAATAAATTAACAAAAAAATCATAGAATTTTGATTTTGTAACTCCCAATTAATTAATGATGTGAGAGTTACATAATTTTTTTTTATCTAAATACCCTTTTCAACTTTGTTCACTTATCTTTATGCAATTTTAAATTTAAAAAAATAAGTTTTTATCATGATTAATCACAACCGTTTATTGAAAGATTGAATGACCAAGATCGGTTAACAAACTTAACACAAAAACTTTGGTTAACATTTGAACCTGACCCTCTATATTCTATGATTTTTGTTGAAAAGGGTATTTAGGTAAAAAAATTATGTAACTCGCATATCATTAATTAATTGAGAGTTACAAAATCAAAAATTCTATGATTTTTGTTAATTTATTTTTGAGAACCATATGAACACAACTATATATATATATATATATATATATATGAACCATTGTGTCAAATACGAACAAAAATATGAACTTGAACTGCATAGCATTTATAAACACAATATGAACATAATAAGAATAACTATTACATAAAAAAAAGGTATAAACACGCTATGAACAGCTTGTGAACGATAGTTCCTTCATTATAAACACATTCAGGAGTGATCATTTGTCAATTGGAGTTTTATACATGCATTACATTCACACCGTTTAAGGTTCACCCCTTGTTCATATATGTTTATGATCTTATATGGTTGTTCACCCTTTGTTCATATCGTGTTCACCCCTTATTCACATCGTATAAAATATATTAACACAAAACCCCAACGCTGTGAACACCAGGTGCAAACACTTGCACAAATATAAAGATTTGGTATCAAGCTTAAAAAATAATACTTGTGTTCATATGATAGAATTAACATGAACATAATGGTTCATGATTCATAAAAGTCGATAATATGACAATATGAAAATGGGTCGTGCATGTACTTCCATTTGAACATGTGAATTATGTACGTATTTTAATAATTAAAGAAAAAAACTATCAATACATAATGAATTATAAAAAACACAACACATCATAATGAACATAATTTTGATTAAAACGAATCTAAAAAAAATAAAAATCTATTACCAAGACATTTGCTTTGGTTAATTTCTTCAATTCCCGACCTCGAACTCCGATTGTCATCATAAACCATTTTAATCTTCTCAATGTTGTCGATTTATTTTTCATTGCGTTTATCCATATTAACTTGATCGATACCGAAAATTTTTACTACCTTGTTTTCTATGCGAATTAAAAACTGATAAAACAATGAACATGAAAGATCAAGATTAAAAAAATAAAAAATAAATATTATAAATGCATATTTTTTGGGATTTGATGATTTATAACTCTCCATTAATTGTTTGAGAGTTACATATCAAATCAATACTAAAATACCCTTGTAATTAAAATGTGAACATAACATAAACCTATAAAAAGAATGAAATTTGATTGGTTGCCATGGTTTTCAAATTTAACACAAAATTGTTGGTTAACATTTGATCTTCCCTTATATATATATATATATATATATATATATATATTCTCCATTAGTTTAGTTATTTATGGTGTGGAATATTGCATTTATTTGAAGACCAAAAGTTATTAGATATTAAATGCTAATTAAACCTTTAATTTAATACAGATGTTTTAACACTAATTATTAATCAATTTTCTTAAATAAAATATATTGAAAACTACCAATCACCACACAAGCTTTCACTCCACAATTATCAAATGTTGACTATTTTCTAAAATAATATTTAATTTAAATGTTTTTATCATACAATATTCTCTCCAAAGGATTAATTAATATTAAACAAATTCACTAAAAACCTTTTTAATTAAACAATAAAATTTAGATTTTTTATTTTAAAGATTACAATATTAATTATATTATTAAAAAAAATTAATATATTTAATAGAATATTATTTTTCTTTCATATATATATTTAATTTTAAATAATAAAATATCATATCTTAATTCTAAGCAAATATTTTTTTAAAGAGTCCTTTAAATTTAAAGAATTTCATATTTTCTTTTATATATGCTTTCTTTTTAATTTTTTGAAAATGTTTTAAAGATCTGTTATTCAAAAGTTATCAGTATTTATCAAATCTGTTCTTATCTAACATAATACTATTGGATCAAATGACAAAGGCATTGAAGCAAAAAAAAAAAAAAAAAAAAAAACTCTCAAAAACTCAATTTTCTGCATTTTGAAAAATCTGTTGGAGATGTTTTGATATTTCTTTTTAATAAAATAAAATAGATATTATTCCAACAATCTCAAGATTAATATAAGAAGTTTGGTGCCTTTGGTGTGTGGCTCAGTTGGCAAAGAGATGTGACGACTTTACTCAAATACAAGATGGATTCTGGGTTTGATTGCATTCCCCACTAGCCTCAGCCCCTGAGTGAGTTAAAAAATGACCTACCACATTGGTGTCATTGGAGACGAGTTCCGTATGAGACTGGTTGGTGTGAGATCCACATCGGTTGAGAAGAGGAACAAGTGTTGACTTATAAGGGACTGAATACCTCTACTACCAGTCGTATTTTAAAACCGTGAGTCTGGATGTGTGGACAAAACGGACGATATCTATTATTGTTAGCCTGTGATGTTACAAATGACATCATAGTAGGGAAGCAGACTTGTATGCCAGCAAAGACGCTGGGCTCCCAACGGGGTTGGATTGTGAGATCTCACATCAGTTGGGGAGGGGAAAAAATGTTGCTTTATGTAACATTCTATAGTAATCATACTAGATATTGTCCGCCTTGTCTACACACCTAGACTCACAGTTCTAAAATGCGCATGATAGTTAAAATATCAAGCCCTTACAAGATAACCTTTGTTGCCCTCCCCAACCAATGTGAAATCTAACACTTTATAAGGTACTGAATACCTCTTATATTAGACGTGTTTTGAAAAATTAAGTCTATGTATATCATGCATGGACAAAATGGACAATATCTAATATGTTTAACCAAAGATGTTATAATTAGAGTTATCAGTAATCTAATTTTACCTAAATAAAACAATTTTCGTCCTAAATTTACTTTCATTCTTTTTTTTTAATTAATAATGTTAATTATGTATTCGGTTACAAAATGTTTCAACTTTTTTACAATTAAATTAAATTAAATTAAATACTTTATTAAAAAGTATTTTATTTTATTTTATTTCGAAATATAAGCTCCCGAAAGGGCCCAATCTCGATGGTTAGCATCCCCCAAATCAATAGATTAAAAACGGAACCTTCTCTCTCTCTCTCTCTCTCTCTCTCTCTCTCTGTTTATATATAAAAACTGATTTCTTTACAGCAAGAGTATTATTCACAAAGCAAACCCATTTCAAGTTTTCTCTCTTACCCAACTAATCCCACACTCTTCTTGTTCATTTCAATCATCATAATCACCGTAATCGACTTCTTTTTTGTGGATTTCATCATCTGTTTATATATAATCCTTATTCGTTTCTCCATTGATTCCTTCGATCTTATGAATGTGGCTTCATTCCAGGTACTTCCATCTCATATACACAAACTCTTGTTCTTTACTCAATCTTTTGATATTGGATTCTTGTCTTCTTTATGGGTTGTAATTCGATCGATTTGATAATCCCTTTTTGGGGTTTCAATTGTTTGAATGAACACAATCTTTGATTCTGCCCAGATTCTTCGTATCGTTTTTGCGGAATTTGTGAAGTTTTCAGTCGTCTATTTGATTAATTTACGATTAAGATTTATGATCGAAGAATCTATCCGTCTTTCTAGATCTAATCTGTCAGTGAATGCAGAGTTGCAATTGGGGATTTTTGGGTGTTTCGATTGATGCAGGGTTCTTGTAAACTCCAATTACCCATTTTTGTTACATAATGACAGGTAAGTTTTTCTTAAAATTTATCATTGATTCTTGGATGATTTCATCAATTCAATGCTGTTTATGTGATTAGCCAAATGGGTTTTTGTTGATTTTGTTTTAAAGCATTGAATCAAGAAGATAGGAGTACTCAAAGATATGGTTTGGGGACATTTGGGGATGATAAGAGAAGGGTCAGGGTTAGATCTTTGAAGAAGAAAACAATGGGGGCATCAACGAGACCGATGAACTCATTCAAAACGCGAAGTAATAAGCGTGTTTTGAATTGCCAATTTGCTTCGATTTCGATAGATGATGTTCGAGATGAGGAGGAAGAAAAGGTAGTGAATGCTTTTCGCCAAATCTTGATCGAAAAAGACTTGCTTCCCAATCGTCACGATGATTACCACACACTATTGAGGTAACAATCTTCCATTATGATCTCAATCTTTGGATAAATTACTCCTTTTGTTATGTAATTGATTAGGATACACTCCATTGGTTCCATAGAGTTTGACTTTTAACAGTCGGTGGGAGTGAAATAGAGGTCAGGTTTGTGTACATCTTACCCGACCCCACCTGGGCGTGTTCGGTTTAAATGATACAATTTGCAGACAACAAAGAATCAAGATTTGGGTTTGTTGCTATGAATAATTACAATGTTTGGTTGATTGTTAAATACCTCAAAACGCCCCTTGAATAAAGAGAAGACCGAAGATTTTGTAATGATGGTAATTGGAGTGATAGTTGAATTTTGCCTAAAAACTTAACGCAAAAAAGGAAATGCTGCAATGTTGATGGTACATTCTAAACGGAAATCCCGGTATCTCTTTGCTCACACTCTTGCACGAGCCAGGTATTTTCACGGAAACAGTTTCCTTACTCTTTAGAGGCGGAGATCAGGTCCGCATACATCTCATCCATGGACCCTACTTAGGGCATATTTGTTGGCAGCTTAATAAGCTTAATGGAACTTGGAGCTTATTCAGTCATCCATACATCATCCGTTGGTAGTGACTTAATGATATAGAAAGTGGCTTATTCAGAAAGCTTTTAGGGGGAGCTTTATGTAGAAAGTCAAGTTTTTGCTAAACGTGCACCTCCCATTAAAAACCATGCTCATAGGATCTATGCAAAACCATCTTAAACAAAAATCTTCCAAATCTATACAGACAGATTAATCCAATCAGATAGATTAATTCATAAAGGACTTAATGGGACACCAACCGAATATCCCCTTAGAATGTAGTTTATTGGGTCTGTTTGGTATTCTAAACGGAGAAATCTACGAACATGGGATTGCAGGTTCTTGAAGGCAAGGAAATTTGACATTGATAAGGCGGTCCAAATGTGGGCGGAAATGCTCAATTGGAGGAAAGATTATGGTGCCGACTCTATCTTGCAGGTTCTCTTTCTAACCATGCTTATTATCTTCCCGCATGATCTTCTTTCGTTCTATTCAAATGTCTATAGATGCAACTGTTGACCCTACGGTGAAGGTCTAATTTTGTGGTCCACAAGAACAATTATAATCCAAATCCATTTAAAATTTTTTAACTTTGAGTGTTGTCGAACAATTTACTTATCAAGATTTGACTTTTTGATGATTCGATATCGAAGATTTGGTTTCTAAATTTGTAAAAATAGCATGTTTGACTTTGAGTCTTTGACCTCATAAGTCATAAGTGTGGTGTATATCTGTTTCAGATTTGGAATGGAGATATAGGTACAAATGTGGATTGCTAGCAATGTATTATTACACTTTTCAATTAATTAAAATGACAATTTTAACCTTAATAATAGAGGGAGTAATGAATTACTTCCATCTTATAATTAATGGGTAGAATAGGAAAGTGGGCATTTTATATTTTATTAATGGGTAGAATAGGAAAGTGGGCATTTTATATTTTAAGTAAGCATTTATTTTGGTACAAACTAAAATCGGAATACCGTGCTTGATCTTTCATTTATAAATGTTTACATTGCAAAAGGCACACAGTTTAAATGTGTAATTAATTCTCTTTTTTAATTAGCTAAATGACAATTTTACCCCTAATAATTGGAGTAATGAGTTTCTCCATCTCATAATGAAGGGTAAAATTGGAAAGCGGTGGACACTTGTTTTGAGAAAATTAAAGTAGAAATGTGGACACTGATTTTGTCTCTCTCTTCAGGATTTCGTATATGAGGAATTTGAAGAGGTTCAAAGCTACTATCCTCATGGTTATCATGGGGTCGATAAAGAGGGACGGCCCGTTTATATCGAAAGACTAGGCAAGGTCGACCCTAGTAAGCTTATGAACGTAACGACGGTTGAAAGGTTTTTAAGGTATCACGTCCAAGGTTTCGAGAAAGCTTTTTCCGAGAAATTCCCGGCTTGCTCCGTTGCAGCTAGGAGACATATAGATTCTTGCACCACCATATTGGATGTTCATGGAATGGTTAGCTTAATGGCTTTCTTTCTACTTTTAGAAACTTTACGGTGGCTAAGCATTCTGAAAAGATTCTTAACTTTCTTGTTTTTGTAGAATTGGATGAGTTTTGGAAAAGTCGCACATGATTTGGTGATGCGAATGCAAAAGATTGATGGGGATAACTATCCCGAGGTATGTGTCTGTGTTTCTATTTTAGTTTGTCGCAAAATAAGTCCTTCCAATTCTACCCTTATTGAGATAGAAAAATTCTCCACTCCTTAATATTATTGAGGGTAAAGTTGTCATTTAGTTGATTAAAAAGTGTGATAATTACTCTTTCTAAATAAGTGCTTGTTTTCCTATTATACCCTTAATACTACTACTTATATTAACAAGGGTAAATTGTGATAATTACATATTTCTATGTGAGTGTTTGCTTTTCAATTATACTCTAAATTATGAGATAGAGAAATTCACTACTCCTTATATTATTAAGGGTAAAATTGTCATTTAGTTGATTGAAAAGTGTGATAATCACATATATCTAAGCAAGTGTCTGCTTTCCATTTATACATTAACTATAAGTGTCTCCTTATATTAATAAGGGTAAAATGGTCATGCAGTTGATTAATTAGTGTGAAAATTACGTATTAATAAGGGTAAAATGTCTGCTTTCCTATTCTACCCTTAATTATGAGATGGAGAAATTCACTACTCCTTATATTAATAAGGGTAAAATTGTCATGTAGTTGATTAGGAACTGATCTTTTTCCTTTTTCCTTTTGATTAATCAGACCTTACATCAGATGTTCATCGTGAATGCTGGTAACGGATTCAAGTTAGTATGGAATACGTTGAAAGGGTTTCTTGATCCAAGAACGACATCAAAGATTCATGTAAAGATTACAAAGATTCGCCTTTGAATTTCGTTTTGAATTCAATCTCAGAAACTAAATCTTGATTAAATTTGCAGGTTCTTGGCAACAAGTATCAGAACAAGTTGCTGGAAGTTATAGAATCAAGGTTGATTTTTTATTCGTCTTTGCATCGTTTATGCGTAAAATTATCTTTTTATATGAGGTTCTTATCGTCAATTGCATTTATTATTATAGCCAATTGCCGGATTTTCTTGGCGGGATTTGTTCATGCTCGAATGACGGTGGATGCTTGAGGTCGGATAAAGGTCCTTGGCATGATCAAGAATTGATGAAGGTATGGTTTTCCGTTTGTTGTTTGAAATCAGGTTCCTTAAGGGCGCGTTTTGTACACAGAGATCACTATTCCATGTTTGTGGAACAGGAATGCTGACGTCGTTCCGTTTTGTCAAACCAAATGTTGACGATTGTTCTGTTTTGTCTTGTCTAGATACCAAATACACCCTAAGAGAACGACCTTCTGACAGATTTAAGAACGCTTCTGTCCAAAATCTGTTAGAAGGTTTAAAACAACAAAATTGTTATTGTTCTAAAACGTGTTTCGAACGTACGAGTGTGTTTATAGTATGCGAGTGTGTTAACAAAACGTTGGGATTCTTGCAGCTAATTAACACGGGAGATGTGGAGAAAAACGCTAGCTTTTATGATGATTCCAGTTTAGAGGTGAAGGCGATTGTTTCCGAGGTGATGTTAGTGACACATTTTTTTTTATCAAACCCGTAAGCCATAAATAACGTTGTCTTCCTGCATTCGGTAATCTTACGACACTCTGCTTGGTTTTATCGTAGACCACGAGACATCAAATCTCCGGCGAGTCGAACACCGTGTTCCAAACTCATGTTCCAAGAAGATCGATGTCTCTCCATCTCAGGGTAGGTGAAAAATGATATCGAGCCATTTATCTCACACGATCCGGGATAGGTGAAAAATGAAACCTGATACTTTTTTGATAACTCAATTGTGTTGTCTTTTAGAACTTGGGAAACAAGTCGATTTCTTACGATACCGAAGTTGAGCAAGTAGTTTCCGGTACTCCGATTGATGTTGGTCCGAGAAGTAAGTGGTCGATCATTCGTACATATTGTTATGGATTTTATCATCTCGAATGCATAATGTTGACCATTTTTGGTAACCCTTTTTTTCCGGTTCCTGAAGCAGATGATATGATACAAACAAGAGCGATGGAAGAGCCGACTGTAAAGAGAGTTGTCGTGTTTTTATACAAAGTTTTAGCATACATATTTCTTCTTGTTTTCCGTCTTGTGAAATTTTCGGCAAAAAATATCGCAAAGTCGTTGAGCAACGGGCAAAACGCACCCGAGTTTGTGAATGTTTCGAGTCCTCTAAGAAAGGACCTTTTGCATCCGTGTGAAGAGAAGCTGATACAACTCGAAGCAATGGTGGCCGAACTTTCGAGTAAACCTTCGAGAATTCCGCAAGAGAAAGACGAGATGCTTGCGGAGTCGATGAATCGTATAAGATCGATGGAGTACGATTTGCAGAAAACGAAGAAAGTAAGAATTTTTAATCCTTTTTTTTCGAGGATTTTGATGTGTTATAATACCAAAACTCACACACTCGTCATGTTTTCTTACCGTGTGAGGGACCATGTTTTCTTACCGTGTGAGGGACCAAAATAGTAAAGAACTGTAAACCACAGGGATTGAAACAACAATAAATTGTAAATCATAAAGACAAAATAGCAATGAATTATAAATCATAGGAATGAAAACCGTAATTTCTGAACCACAGAACGGATGTAACGTACTCTGAGTATCATTTAAATATTCAATACATTTAATATCTCAACAACTTTTCAAATAATCCGAGAGTTTTTCAAAACCGGAGGTTTTTATTACTGATTTCGTCGTTTTCTTCTCATTTTGTAGGCGTTATTTGCTACGGCTTCGAAACAAATGGAGCTCGAGGAGTCGATAGAGACACTACGAGGGGATACTTTAAATGTAAGTCGAAACCTCACTTTTCATAACCGGAAAGTATATCAAAATACTGTGAAGTCTTAGAATTTCCTATTTTGTATTGAATTTTGACTGGTAACCTGTTGATGTTGTAACATTGTGTGGGTGTGAAGTTTATCATTCCCTTCGTCATAAACTGAGATCCACGTTATCAAATGTTACATATCAGCAGTTTATCGATCAAAATGAGTACAAAATGGGAACTTTGTATTTTGATGCATTTTGCCGTTTCAAATTCATGATCGATATTGGTTCTAATTATCTTAAATTGGAACAATAGAGAACAAACTCGTGTTGGGTGAGACGATCAAAATCATCCTCGAGCGGAAGATGGCAGTGAAAATGAACCCGAATTCGGCCAAACTTTTTTCAACGATACACTTATCGAAATTGGAATCGGTCTTCACAAGGTCGCCTCGGACGAATATTCTTGATTCTCGGGCATTGGAACGCTCGTTCAAAACATGAGGTTTCTCTCAATATACATACATACATACATATAGGCGTACAAAAACATGATTTGTTCGTTCTTACCCTCTCGGGTTGATAATTCAAGGCGTTTTGCAACGATCTTTCAAAGGTTTTTTTATGGTTCTAAAAGCGGTATATGCATACATGTTAATAAATAGTTTACATAGAATGAGATAACTTGCCGGGAAAAACATGTCGATGGGAATAGGTCGACGGGTTTTTTGGCGTTTGTTTTTCGGTTCGAGATGTAATTGTTACCGGAAGTTTATAAGTATTGTAACGATTCGATCGTTGATCGAACCCGATTCTTGCAATAATAAAACGTATACATTTTGACTTTTTGATGTCAATATTTATCTTTAAGTGTATATATGATTATTTATTAAACGTGTTATGTTAAATTTTCAAAAGCTTAAGTTATATATACAACTACTTAAATTTGGGTTGAGACGAAAGTAAAAACCATAAAATAACACTGAAACTTTACTTTAGAACATTGTGAAGGTATACAAAATACTGATCATTTGCAATAAAAATGCTGTGAAATATTTTGTTGTGAAAGTTTAGTGTTATACATATGATCTCATGAAAACAATTTGATCTCACAAGATATTACAGTGTGGATGATTTGATATCCAACCTGTAATCGCAACGATCCAATTGCAAGAGTTGAGAAGTGGAGCACATGATAGAGTTGAACGCTTCTAATATTCTTTTCCTTGGCACAACTGAGCCTTCCTGGACTTGAACCAGAGACCTCGCCTGTGAGGTAAATGATCGCACCTACGGTTCAACCAATTGGGAGAGAATCAATAGATTCCTTTTTCAGGAGCGATTCATCTTCCCGGTTACCACTTATCATGTATGATATAAATGAACATCAAAAAGTCATCCAATTCAATAATAGTTACTCGACAAAATTTGGGTAGATTCTTATCGAAGAAATTGAACTACCATACAGAACTTATATATTTAGATCGGTGTTAATATATTTGGTGTTCGATTTATTGAAATATTTATTTTTAAGTACTATGGATAACTGGTCAGTATAGTTAGATAACTGATTCAAAATACTGAATGAATCCAATTCAATTTAACAACGATAATAGAACTAATTCAATCCAATCACCTCATTGAAACTGGATTGGATCGATTCAGAATTCAACACATCCAACAAATAATTGGATTAAACCTCTTCCATCCGTGAGACAAAAAGAATGGAGAGATGCCATTTTTACAAATACACCTTTTACATCTATCACGTTCTTTAATCAGATAGAAAGGAAAAGGCCAAACTTCGTCTCGCAGTTGGGAGGGAAACGTAAACGAAATTTGCCCTCTTATTTCTTTCCTTTCACACCCTTTCCTTCAAAAAAAGGGTTGCGGACAACAATTACAAGATCATGATCAAATCCTCGAAAACTAAAAAGAAGGGTTTCTATTTAGTGTGTTAAAACCGTAAATAAAGGACAGAAAAGTTACAGGAACTAACATTGATCTACATGTACACTAGTATTTACAAAATTCCCCAAGGCATTTGGCCAATTAACAATGACAACTATACCCCTACTACCAAGGGCCAATGATACAGAAAGCACTAACCAATGGGTTCCAAAAATATAATATAAAAAATAAAACAAAAAAAAATATTTTTCAACAAAGGAGTGATGGGAACTATGTACACATACCTCTGCTGCTGCTGCTGCTACTGCTGATGATGATGATGGTTATATATACAAAATACCCACAAATTTGAGCCTACCAACATTACTTCAGTTAACCCCCTATTGCTGCCTGTTTTCATCCTTCTACTAACTGCCTGATGGGAAACTATGAACATAATCTGCAAGGTATATCAAAAGTAAGAACTACTAGTCTGTTAAAAATGTTGTATCTTATGAAATGTAACTAAATAAATCAACCACCACTGTAATCTATATATATATATATATATATATAGAGAGAGAGAGAGAGTGAGGTTGAAGGGGAAAATTCCTCAATAAATGAAAAACTGAGGAACACCCTCAATCATTCTCATCTGTACAGTATGCAGTATGCACATATGTGCATACCGTCTAGATGAACGTTTACCAGAGTGTTCCTCAGTTTTTCATTTTTTTGCGGTTTTCCCTTGAACACACACACACACATATATACACAGAGAGAGAGAGAGGTGAATTATCATGCAACCCTTTACATTTGTACAACCAATACAACTCATTCTTAACCGTCTATTTAATTTGATGAATATGTGATTTCATAAAAGTTTTGATTGTTTCCTAATATAAAGTATTGATTATAATTAATAAACCCTAGTTATCTTTCGTAAATATTCAAATCAAAATAAATGAACTCTCATCATTTCCATAAATATCTCAATTGATTGGGTTGCATTGGCTATACAAATGTGATGGGTTGCATTGGCTATACAAATGTGATGGGTTGCATTTGAAATGTCCTCTCTCTCTCTCCATATATATATATATATATATATACACACACACACACACATGATTTGCACGTGCATACAAGCAATTGAAAACGCCTCCTGATTTTAATGCACGTTTGCATGTTATATACATGTGCATACCATGCAGATGAAGGGGTAACCAGAGAGTTCCTCGGTTTTTCAATTTTTTTTTTTGCAGTTTTTCCTTGAACCTGACCCAATATGTGTGTGTGTGTGTGTGTGTGTGTATTTCACATGTGAATACATTTATACTCATGTAGACACCGATCCCTCTACATTGCATGCAAAGAGTCCAGATTTTAACATGTACAAATGTTACTTCTTGTCGTGCCTGATTCAGTGACAATTATAGGAATGTACTCCTTCCGTCCCAAAAAAAATTGTCCAAATTTTTGTTCTAATTTGTCCTCGAATAAAAGTTCACTTTCAAAAGCAAGTGCCAACTTTCCAATTCTATTCTTAATTTAAGAGATGAAGAAACCCAATACTATTTACTCCCTCTACTATTAAGGGTAAAATTGGAAAGTCGGCACTAACTTTGGGACGAATAGAATAGCTTTCTCCATAATTGACGATATTAGAAATAGTTTCCCGTGATGTTTCATAACAAACATCATCAGGAGCAGCAATTCTAAACATAACTTTGTGTGTGGTCTATGCAATGTGGTTGCAGAAAAATAAGAAGAAACAAACCTGTACATTGCTATTACATGTGAACGACAGCCCAACCTGAATGGCCCAGCACCAGTCACCCAAAAAACCCGAAATAGATTTGCTCCATTCCTGCCCAAAATCAGTGGGCCCAGATGGGAATCGTCAGCTATGAAGACGGCTGCTGTTGCCACTGTACACCAGTATCACGTCCAATGGAATTAGGCAAGCTGTCCGATGAAGACTGCTTATGAACACCACCACCATGGTTAACCGTTGGTCCCGAATGTTCACTCCCAGTCCCAGCACTGCTTGATTGAGGCGGAGACAATCCCGTTCGACCCTTACCAAATTGTGTTGCATTATCCGAGACTACACCCGAATCATAAAATGGCTCAGATGTCTTCCAATTTGGAGCTCCAGCTCCGGCTCCTGCCACAGGTGATTCACTACTCGTTGCATCATTAGAAGGCACCTGAGGAAGTGAAACAGTCGTATTTGTAGCTTGCACCTTGCTTGTAGGCAGGTCGGAAGAATTTGCTTTTCGATTCTGTACCATTCTTTGAGCAGGTGTTGCTTGAGTTTGACCCACCAACTTTTGGGGTGGCTGCGGCTGGCGGTGATTGGTAGAAGTCATGACGGATGGTGGTGCATGAATGTTGCTGGTATCAGATGAAAGAGAAGGCTTTTGTGGTTGACTTGGATATCTCTTCTGCTGTTGTGATTGATTTAAAGACGAATGAGGCATCTGCTTCGCAGATGGTCCAGAATATACGTTTCCCTGACCACTTTGCAGCAAATGATGCATAACCCGCGGTTCGCCTTTCTCTGCAACCGATTGACCTCCGGATACGCCATTCAGAAGAGAGGAACCTCCTTTCATAACTTTCGCCTGCTGCTGAGATTGTGAAACTTGAGGGTGTTGCCTGCCGGGTTGTTGAAACTGTGGTGGCTGGCGGTGTCGCTGAAGCTTCACCGCCTGATTCCCGCCCGTTTGAGGGTTACGCAAAAGTGGTGGTGCTGGATGTTTCTGTGGATGTTGAGGCATTGGATTCAAGGAGGGTGTCCCAATAGGTGAAACCGACACTGGTGGAGAAGATTGTGTTTGTATTTGCGTACTACTTTGAGGAGATGAAACTGGAAGTTGAGATTGTTGTGGTTGTCCATGTGGCATCATGGGATTGGACGTGCCAAATTGTTGTTGTAGCAAACGGTGTTGTTGTAGTTGTCTTTCTTTGATGAAACGCATTCCATAGGACGGATGTTGAGCATTGGTTGCATGATGTGGATGAGAATTACTATTTGGCATGCGGGGAGATTGTTGGGGGGACATTGGATGTGCTTGCTGCTGCTGATGGAGCGGGTATGACAGAACGGGCGGTTGGGAATTCTGATTCGGAAAAGAACCCATTCCACCTGGCGGTACCTGCTGCATCTGAAGATCCGGTGCCATAATTTGCCTTTGATGGTCGGTATTCTGGTTCGGCTGTAACCAAAAATCATATCACAAGTTAAGACACATAAAATACCTAGTAAAAAGATAGTAAATGCACAACCGATGAGAGGGTGATAAAATTATATGGCTTTCATTGTGTAGTCTGCTATCAGAAAATATTGATAATCAAAAGAAACTTAGGGCCTGGTTGTTAGTGGCTTACTGAGCTTTAATAGGACTTGCAGCTTATTCAATCAGCTATATTATATATGGCTGTTTGATAGTGGCTTAATGATATAGAAAATGGCTTATTTAGTAAGCTTCTAGGGGCAGCTTTATGTAGAAAGCTAAGTATTTTCCAAACATGTCCCTCCCAATTAAAAAACAGGCTCCTTCCATCTATGAAAAAACCTTCACAAACAAAAACCTTTTCAATCTATAGATTGATTAATCCACACAGATAGTTTTATCCATACATGACTTAATAGAAAACCAACCAAACAGCCCCTTAGGGGCCAGTTAACCAAATGCTTACCCGTAAGCACTTCCAACACTCTAACTTACTTTACGGGGTAAGATTGCAGTCCATCAAAAGGGTATCGTATGCAACAATTTACCCAGTAAGCGCTTACCGGGTAAGAGTTGTCACCCTCACTTACCAGGTAAGACTCTCCACCCTTACCATAGCTCTTACAGGGTTAGATCCTCGGCCCGGTAAGTGCTCACCGGGTAAACGTTTGGTAAAAGGCCCCTTAAAAATTAGAATGCTCTCAGAAATTTCGAAAGGCAGCCATTATGAAATTTGCATACAGAAAGAGTCAAACTATTTCTGAAATCAACGATTGTGGTTCCAAACCCCGCATACAGCTAACCAAGAAGTAGAAAGTAACATGAACCCAGTTTATAAAAATGCCTCTGCATCACCTTTTTCGATCATCCTACTTGAAATCATATAATCCCTCCGTCACAAAATAAATGTCCACAATGAAAAAACCACACAGTTTTAGAAATATGTAATTATTAGCCTTTTTAATCAACTAAATGGCAATTGTACCCTTACTTTTGGAAGTGGACATTTATTTTGGGATGGAGGGAGTAACATACAATTTGATATTTAAATAGCCACGCACCAAGCAAATCAAAATGATGTGTAACTCACCCTCGTCATATGCAAAGCCTCACGAGGTCTCACCGAGTTCCCTTGGCTAGGTCCAGCCCCAGCCTGGATATTGGCAGCGGTTGGCATCCCCACACCAGAACTCAACATAGATGGAGAAGCAATCCCTTGAAACCCTGGTCTCGTCATTGTCATGTTTCTATTCATGACACCGGTACCATTCCCACCAGGTAACATACGAACGCCTCGATCAGTTCCTGAATGGGTCCCAGAAGGCAAACTTGACTGTTGTATGTTCCTTGCAGACAACATTTGATTGTACTGTTGCATTCTATGCTGGTCGTCTATCGATAAGGAACCTGTTCTAGGAATCCCGTATCTTCCTTCCCTAAACAAGCACATATAAAATAAAGTTTAATATTTTATCAAGAATTTCCTATTATATAAAAGATAAAGATTTTGATAGAACTTTAAATCAAAGTCTGATATCAGAGGAAAACATGTCCTCTCAAGTAGGGGTGTAAACGAGCCGAGCCGAATGGTAGGTTATTCGACCTCAGCTCGAAAAAATTATACCAGGCTCGAGCTCGAATAACTTTTTCAATGTAGGGCACGAGCTTGAATATTTTTTGAGTTATCGAGCTCGATGCTCACTTACGGGGCTCGTAATCATGATCGATTAACTCATTTATTGGCTCGATGTTTATAATTTTTATATTTTTATTGTATTATTTATGAGCATATGAGCATGTTTGGATCGAACAAGTATATGCTCGAATGGCTCGGCTCGGCGCCGCTCGAAAAATTTAATCGAACTTTCGAACGAGCCGAGTCGAGCATTGGTTTTATGAAGCTTGACTCGTTAAGTTAAACGAGTTCTATCTTGTGTTCGAGATCCACGCGAGCTCGATTATTAAGCTAGAGCTCTAGATAAACGACCTACAGTCTCAAGCTATTTATAGCATTACCTGACAGAGGGACTAAGTGGAGCAGATGCAGAGACCAAGTGACTGCCATGAACCATATTAGAAGAACCCGGTAGTGAGGAAGCCGAACTAGAGCCAGGAACCATTGGTGCTGCATTGCCATGATTCGGAACTGGTAACCCACCAGTATGAGGACCTTGATAACCAATCGGAAGAAAATCTGGACTCGATGAAATTGCATCGCACAGATCAAGAGGCCTTCATAGGATAATTGACAGAAATGGTATCAGGTATCATAAATAAAGCAAAAGAAGTAGACAATTAACAAGAACTACAGAAAGAAATGGTAAGAATTAAATCATAAAATATGATCTTGAAATAACGATTCCCATATGGATACAAGTATGACCTGCTAATAGCAATCAAAACGAAAAAGCTTACGTGAGAACAGGTCCACCATTGAGGTTATTTGGGCAGACTTGAGAAAGCGCGAGTGCATGAGAACCATGAGGCTGCTGGAGTTGCTTTGGATCCTGATTATCGTTCTTTGGCAGAAAAATAGAAATCAAACAGATTACATGAGTTCAAAACTCGACATACATAAACCACAAAAGAGTTTAAAAAAAAACCACAAAAGAGCTATGTTTAGTACCCTCCTTTTACCACCCTTATTAGTGTAAACATGACCCTCTTTTCTACATAATACGAAGAGACCATTTTTATTTAAAAACATGCCTATTATGCAACAATCAAAGTTGTTAAAAGCTCAGGCGCACTTAGGTGCAGAGGGGTACCGAGGCCTAGGCATGAGGCGCAGACCTCAGAGGAATGTGAGGCACATCTATCAATATATATAGGTTTATATACACACATACATAGTTACATACAACTCAAATATGCAGCAAGTACAAGCCTCCAATGCAGCAACCAGTAGTACTTTGATAGAGGCATAAGGGAGAAGGGTCTAAAGCGTGAGCCGTGAGGGAGAAGTTTTACGGGCTGGATATTTATAGGCAAGAAGGCTTGGAGTTCTAAGAACTAGGTATTTAATATTAGGGTTTGACTTATGTCATCTATTTTAATAACTCTTTTTTTAATAAGTCCAGGGAGATGAGAAGATGAGAAAGCTTATTTAATATTAGGGTCTGACAAGGTATTTACTAACTCTTTATGACGCGAGCCTTAGCCAAGACATAGCGCCTTAGCGAGCTTCGTGAATACGCCTCGACTTTAAAAAAGCCCAAGACCTTGAGCCTCAAAGACTAGGCATGTCTGAGGCGTGCTTTTAACAACTATGGCAACAAAAACTGGGAATATAATTTTTTTAAGAACCAATGCCATTTCCGAATAATGATGACAGCATTCAAAAGAAATATCAGGGAAGTCACCTGTGCCTTCCTATAATGATGCTTTTGCCAAATCATAATCATCTTCTCAAAATGATATTTGAGTGTATCCTCTTCCATTGGTCCCTGCAGCCGTTGAAACAATTGTCTCGCACTTCCCTGTGTGAGACACACACATACAAAAGAAACTATCAAGCTCAAGGGTGAATGGTAAAGCATGAACAATCATATACAATACTAAGCATGTAGAAAGAATAAGTAAGAACAAATATTGCCTCTGGAATGCCAGGCAACGTTGACGGATAAGGTTGTGACGACCCAGAATCCTCAGCACTATCAGCACCATCACCGGTGTTCCTATCCATTAATATTTTGTGGCGCTCTTTGCATTCCTTGGAATTGCGAGAGATGCACTTCACGTGTTGAACAGAATAAAACAACGTTAATCAATGACAAAAGAATGTGATAATGATTAGTAAGCAACAGAGATAAGACAAACAGAACAAGAAAGAAGACATCCAACTTTTTAGGTGTTCATTTACTAATGCCATTTCAAATTTTTTGCCAAGACAAGATATGCCTTATTTGCAAGAAATTAATCAACAGAATCTTCGTAATCCTCCAGTCCAGGTTAGAGAACAAAACAAGAAATCGTTTGCATGAACAATTATTCTATATGATAAATATATATAGAAAAGATGCCAATAGAGTAATCACCTTAAATTGCAAAGTGCTGTTGATAGCATCACTTATGAGTTCCCAGTTGGCACCCATGTCGTGAACTAGCACAACAAGAGCCTGAGGTGGCAAAGAATATTTTTAGTGATACATTGCATCAATTTCTCGACAAAAATATAATTGCCATAGTGGCAAACAGAAAAAAGAAACTGAATAGTTTAACCTGATCTTCAAATAACGACCATGGACTTCCTGAACCTTGCTGCCCAGCAGGGGTCTGCAGGGACTGTTTTTAGAAAAAGCTTAATAACCCCATGCAAGAGGAAGGCGGAGCACAATTAGGAGTAACACAAGAACTTGACAGGTCAATCATTTCATAATACCTTAAGTGATTTCGCTTTCCTACCACGGTCACGCACAAGTAATTTCATGAACTTATTTGGGTTGGACATATTATTCATCTGCGAAGCACCTGTGAATTGAACCAGCCAAGGGAAAAAGAATGTCAGATTATTATCTAGTGATTCATATAATCATCTTTGGCTTTGTCAAGATATGATGACCGTAAAAACCATCATGGAAGGTTTTCAAGATGTGGTTGAGAAAGATACGGAAGATACAAAATCACCATTAAAAATAAACCTGAAATACACACATTAGGATAAAAGAGCTATACCGCTGTTCCCATTGGAATCAAATTGACGAGTATCCAGCCTCCTCTTTGAATGATCCTTCTGCAATCCAAAGACATGCAAGATATCGGATGTCAATTACTAATAAGAAACACAACATTGTTTGAGTTATATGTAATTCACGTTATGACCAGATACGCTAAGCATCAGGAATCTGTTTAGCTACTATCTTGTGTTATTAGAGAAGGAAGATAAGTTATAGTGAATCTCTGAACAATAATTCAGAAATATCAGGAATCATGTTATTCAAGCAATTTTCTTCCATTGAAGCATGCTTAAGGCATGAGGAAAGAACCGAGTTTTGCGTTCTATCCAGACAAAAAACTTTGTTTGCATTATATTTCAGATCATTCAAGAGGAATTTCTCCAAAGTGAACCAACAGTCAGGGTTTTGAAATCCAAAATCCTTTCTATCTCATGAAACAGAGCCGTACTCGGCAATGGCATTAAGCTGTCCATTCAGTTGCTATGACTTTTTTTAAGCTCAACCCGTACACCTTGACGGTACTGAATGGTAAATATATAAAGATGGCAGAAGCCAGACATATGCAGAAAACCAGAACTCTCATTTCCTTGAAGATGGTAACTTAATGGGTGGTTCCCACTGCCATTTCAAGCAATACACAGCTACATGGTTATGAGTAATCTTCCTTAGTTGTTGATGTTACACACTAAACATAGAACAAAGGCTATCCATAAAAATTAGTACTATTGTGAGTAACTGATTTCATGCAACCCTTTACCTCCTAATTTTTATTTCTTTTAGCCAATAAACAACATATGATGGTATATATATATATATATATCAGTAATTCAGTTCTAGTGTTCGTGACTGATTCAAATTGATGTCTTTATCACTAACCAGAAAAAATATATTAGTATTACCTGGTCATTTTGAATATTAGAGTCAAGCGGCCATCGGTGCTCATACGTGGATCCCTGCAATGCAGTAAGTTGACATTAAAAGCCAAAAGGGTAAATAATAGAAATTAAATGACATTAGGAACTCAAAATAATTTTACATACAGGATGTTTTGCCTTCTTTTTCTTTTTAGGTTGATTTGATACTTCTGTCATGTCAAACTGCCACTGCTTTTCATAGTCCCCCACTGATTCCGCTTCCATATTGCTTGGTATCTGTGGCCCACCATGTAGAGAACTTTGCTCATCCTGAAAGGAATTGGTATCACCACTTGAAGCATCTGCTCTAGTTGATGCCTGAATATAACCAGAAGTTCCAGAAAACCTCTGCCTGGAAGCAGTTCGCACACGTTTTGTGGGAATTGAAACATTTATACTGCTGGCAGGTCGTTTCCCACTTAACACAGAAGGTTGAATCCCAATATTTCTTTCAAGGGGTTGCATGAAAGACAAATCAACTCCCATCTCATATGATCTTGCACCATATGACCTGAACTGTTTCCTTTTCTTCTGAGCAGTTTTTGACGACCTGCTACCTTCAAATGCTCCTGGCAAATAATATGTGCTTGTTTCTCCCTCCTCCTCTTCAAGTGTATTATCTTGAGATCCAAAGGCTACATGGTTAGAAATATTCACTCAACATAATTTCTATGAAAAGGTCCAAGTAATCTGCACCAACTCTTATAATACCTGCAACAGCATCATACCCAGAGGCATCCACTTCCTCTTGCATGCTACTGCCAGTTCTCTGGAGAAGAACAAAGTATGTCATTAGGCTTGCCATTCCTTCAAACAAAAAGTTTACTCTAACCCAACCCCCCCCCCTCCCCCACCCCACCAAAAAAATGATCTCTACATTATCTAAGGTTTATGAGTTTCAAAGAAGTGGGATTTTAGATTCTAGTGGTGCCAAATAATAATATAGACTACACATCAAATTCTTTGCAGTTTGTACCAATTAAGAGATAGCTCATCTAACAGTTTAAAGTAGGCATGGACCGTTCAGTTTTTGAGGAAGAGTTGCACCATGACACATTACAAACCACTTAGGTGCACAAGATTTTACCTCTTCCATCATAATAAAATGGCAGGACATATAGTTCAGCAAATATGCTTGACTATAAGTTAAATTTCTAAAATACCCTTCAGAACTGATAAATAGGGGATTTTGTTGACCAAAATCAATAGTCAAATAGGCAGCAAATAAGTAACACCCGGGTGATCATTTATCAGAAAATGGAACATTGCAAGTAATATGAAACATACCAAATGGAAATTGTTGCAATTACTTCCAGAAGAGCATGGAAGCATATTGCAGATGTCGCCCTAAACTTATATACTTCCTTATCATCACGTAAACTTTAGACCATTCAATCAATCAAATCTATATCCAACTTCTATCCATGCATCTTCAGTACACTAAACAGATCCTTTGTCATTTCATATAAGTCAACTTTTCTCTAGTCTACCCCACCCATGCATTGTATTAGAGCGCAGAAAGATGAGGGGACACTCAACCATTTGCCCCATGAAATGAAAATTTAACTATACTAATGTTATATTAACTATATTTGGTTTTACCCTAATGCTTTCCATCTCTCCTATGTCCGTAGTTGTGGCAATAGACAATTAAATAATATGTAATTCTCTTCCCTCAAGTTAGTAGTTGGAATAAATAGAATGTGCCAACTGCCAAATATAGTCTTCTTGTTTCCTTCCCTGCGCAAGTAACCAAAAAGATGGTCATAGGACCATTAATAATTTCCATAACAAGTATCAATTAGCTTATCTAACCGCTAATTTAAATTCCGATTTTCAGCTACATTCCCATTGTCCCAAGTTTAAGTGTCTACTCCCCTTCTCAACCACCCCACACTTGGTGTCCACTTTCCTTTTGACTAAAAGATTTGCTCACAATTCCTAACCATCCACATTTAGGAAAATGAAAACATTAAAACCTTGCCACTAGTTGGGAGAAATTAATACATGATGTTTGGTAGAGCTGTCAACAAAGTTCTGCAGTTCTTGGTCTACGTATCATATACAATTGTTCCTTCCCTTATTTTCCACTAACCTTGCCATTGGTAGAGCTAAGCAATTATTTTTTAAATTTCTATCATCAAACACCTTTTTCCATATATTAATTATATAAATATAACTACTCTCAACACGGTCTCCACTCACAGTGAAAGGAGTAGAAATAAGAAGTTCCATTCATATCAAATTTAAACTTACTTTTGTTGTACTGTTTGCTCAACATGGGCAATCAAACCTATATCCACAGCAATAATAATTACAACAGAGATTTTTCAACCTTTTTTAGTTGTATTTTGTTTATTGTAGCTTGTTCCACCAACTAACCTCACAAACACTCAACAATATACTAATATAGACTCAATAGCTAAGAAACCTGTACAAAGTCAGGATCACCATATTCACTACACAGAGATCCAGGAGCCAAGCACATACTCGATTCCGTATGCCCTAATGCAGAAGCAGAACCATATTAAATTTGGAAGCTCACTGACTGTTAACCCATAATTTAAGCAGTCATTGCTGGAAGAAGTTTATTACCCAAGTTAATTGCTCCATAGCAGATTAGCGTCATTGGTGGCCCAAGTAAACTGAAACTGTGTCACCCAAGCACCCAGTTGACACTAAACTAATGCTTAGTGAGTGAACCAACAAGCATTCTCCAAGAAATGCTCCATATTTCTAGAATTCTATAGGACCTCATGGTGCTCTGAATACATTAGGTTGCACTTCATCTTGTAGTATTTCCTACAACTCTCTAGATTTCTCTGTATACATAGAATGTTAGAAGTAGCCTGCTTATTTAGCAGGAGAACCTTACAGGCTGCTTGTATCTAAAATTTTCACCATGCATATATAAAGGGAAGTTCCTCATTTTTCCACCAAGGAAAAACTCCAAGAAAGTCTTCAAGAAACTCTAACAGCATCATAACTTCCATTCCCTACAATTTTTTGTGTAAATTCATTCATGGCCCCTTAGCAAGCGAATAAGGTTGTAGCATCCTCACAAACAAGCAAGGTGCTCAGGCTCCACAGTTGGTTAAGGCGAAAACACTGACCTATGGCAGTAAGCTACAAACTACGTTAGATGTTCCCATTCATGTGGGGAAAAAAATTAGTGCAGGTTTGGGATTCAATCACCTTCATCTCATGAATGATGCTAAAGCAGTAAAGCTAGGGGAGTATAGTTCAGAAGTTACAAATGAAAATGTGAGAGGCGTGTTCAGCACTCCCAAAAAGTGAAGACAATTTACAATGGGCCACAATGGAAGTCCTGTTTGACCAACACCAGGGCCCAATATTTTCCATCCATTTCAAGCTCATCGTCATCAAATTAGCCAAATGGATATTAGACAATGCTACAATCCGTATGATAGGGATTGTGGGCAAGTGACGGTTTATAGATAGGCAAGTGTTGTTTATAAGGAAAGGAAAGAAGAACCTTTTTTTTTTTTTCTACAAGACCTCAAAAGAATAGCTTCATAAGTTCATATATGACAAAATTACAGGAACTGCAAATTAATTCCTTTGATCTCAACAATATGAGAATATCAAAATCCTGTTTGACCAACACCAGGGCCCAATATATTCCATCTATTTCAAGCTCATCATCATCAAATTGGCCAAATGGATATCAGGCAGAGCTACAATCGTTATGAGAGAGAGTGTGGGCAAGTGATGGCTTATAGACAGGCAAGTGTTGGTTATAAGGGAAAGGGAATATCTTTTTCTACAAGACCATAAAAGAAGAGCTTCGTATATGGCAAGATTACAGGAACGGCCAATTAATTCTGTTGATCTCAAATATGAGTAACATACATGAGAATACATATTCTGTTGTTTGTTAGTCAAAAATTGCAGGGCAAACATAGAAAACAATATGAAAGGAAAGGAATGAGCCCTGTACTGGCAGCAGATATAACATACTTCCATAATCCCATTCTTGAGCAATGTTTTTACCTCACATTGTAGCAAATGAGATTGAATAGATTTTCTATAGGCCTCAATTGCACCAGGTGGTACAGTATAAAACAAGTCCTCCTGCATTCAGGAAACACTTAATTATATGTCCACTTAATCATACTAATAAAAGATGAACAATAGACAAGCAAATAGCTAAAATTTTGTGTCTCCAGGAAATAAGATCCTTCACGTGCATGTCTTGTCTAAAATAGGCAAGTGGAGATCATTTGCCTGTCTGTATCATTGCTTTGTGTATATTAGCAAGAAAAAGACAACTAAAACAGGTGCAATTTGATGGTTCAACTTGATGTTTTAATTGTGAAGGTGTGAAGGGTAGGTGCATACTTCTGTCAGATTATCCTCCCATGAAATGTCTATGCTGCCGAGATCAGATATCCTATCAGGAGTCACAGGTGCTTGAGCTGAGCTATACTGAGCATGAGAGGTATTATACTCCAAGAATCTCATCCCATATTGACGAAGTCCAAGCATAGAATCTTTTTTAAGACCCTCTAACTCCGATCCTTGGCATTTCACCTGTCACATGCAATATTGTTAGTTTTCATTGTATCCTTTGGCAATTCAAATATCCAAGAAACCCGGTTATTAACTGATTCCAAATCGGATAACAATTTTTGGAACCCCTCAAACGTGTATTCAGATATTCCAAATCAGATAAGATTAGCATCCATTTACAATCCTAATGCAAGAATGCTAACATGGTGATCTCAGTTATAACCGTTAATAGTTCGGGAAGAAAAGAAACTTTCTTCACAAGGCGTGCAAATCAAACATCCTAGCAAGTAGCTGGAGGTTAATGTAGAACTTATCTGGCCATGACCACATTGACCACATTCTTGATTCCAAGTGTTGCTCATAAGTCATAAATAAACCATTTAATCAAAAATCCTAACAGACCTTCTGGTGCTACAGCTACATACTCGATATATCTTACCAACATGACACCAATGTATCAGAAACTAATAGGGAGGGGAGACAGGAGAGACAGCATAAACTCTCAATGTGCATTTGCTTAAAAAGCTTAAAAATGCATTGCTCTTAAGCTTTAATCATAATCTAAGGCAAACAATCATGTCTACTAAATCTCAGGAGTCCTTGTGAGGATACATATTCAGTTAGTAACATATGTATACTATGGATCCTTATTGACTTCTTACAAACAATGTTCTAAAAGAATTCAAAAGCTTATTACAATTAACTCTTTTCAGGTTTAGAAGTTATCAAGATTCAAAACAAATAGTTAGCCAGTTGCCTTTAGGGAAGAAAACTCTGCAGATGTCTAAAAAGTAACTTTAGGAAGGCTATAGAACAACATGACGGATTTGTTGAAATGAAGAGCAGCCATGATATGTGGATCATTCTTTCAACATTTCACTTGCATCACCAATCATGTCACTGAAGAAGTAAGATGTACTCTCATGCCAGAAATGTCAAACCAACACAATGGATGGTTAGAGACTAGCATAACTCAAGAATAAATATGCTATAAGGAACAATGAGTAAATACAATCATTACAAGAAACATTTAGTGCCCTAAATGACTAATAGTCCATTATCTTCAACAAATATATACATATGTGTGTGTGAGTGTGTGCATGCGACGACCTGTGTTGTGAAAAATGCAACGTTTGACTTGACACTGAGTTTAAGATAAGTCTTTTGACCAGTAACTAAATAATTAAATACAACTTAACATGACAAAGTTGAGATAACTTGTGGACCGCAATCATGCTTGAACAATATCTTGCAGTGGTAGCTGAAGAGCATATAGATAAATTTGAAAAAAGAATCTTTCTGAAAGAACTGTTGCATTTGTTGGGACAAACCAAAATAGAAAATGCTGCATTTTTGGGAAGGAGGGAGTACTTTATTTTTCTGGTTTATCAGTTTAGAACTTATTTGTTCACCTGCACTGTGTGCCAGAACTCCATGACAGCTTCTGCCAAGGTATGAGCAACTTCTTTTTGCTTCCACAGTGAATTCTGTTGTTGAAACCGGACCCGTGAAGTATAAGCAGCGTTCCGAGAAATTTGAGCAGCTGCAGTTACCTTCCAAAGGCGCTCCTGTGTAACAACAAAACAAAAATCACGAAGATGAATTAATATACTGTAAACGTGAAAGTCAGATAATGCAAATGCATATAGAATGAAGGCATTTGTTAGTTAAATAATTCATATTAAAGTGCAAAAAAGAAATATGCATCACAACGTCAACTTCAGAAATAATCAGCAAAACTGAACCTGCGCAAAATCATTAGCCAGCCATGACATTTCTTCCAGAACAAAATGCCAATGTGATCTATGACGACCCTCGGATGAGAAGATTCCAACAGACATACCAGCTATCCTCTTCCTTTTTTCCTGTTTACAGAACAACCTCAAATCAACTACTACGGAGAGTCTTGCGCGAGAAAGATCAAATGCCATAAGGTCAAAAAACAAAGAGAACGTAGAGATCAGACCTCTATAATCCGAGCTTCTTCTAATATCGAGTCCTCGTGTTCCTTGGTTGCCAGTTTCAGAGAGTTCTTAGAGAATGTGTTTTGCTGTGCACCATCAGTTGAACACTTATGCGACAGGGTAGACTCTTGAAATGAGGTGCAACCTGTACCCAGAGGTTTATCAGTGCAAATATTTATGGATTGAGAAGTGGAATCGGATCCCAAGACAGTGCAAGGTTTTCTTTCTATTTCAGAAGTAGTGCAGCCACCTAAATCAATACCTGTTGAAGAGACAGGCTCCTTCAACTCATGTTGCAAGGCATTATCACTTCCTTTCAAACCTTCTTCTTCCTTAAGTGTAGAACCATTCTCATTGCGGCTTGGAGGGTGTGGATTAGAATTATCATTGCCGATGTTCAATATCTTATCATCCTTTACTGTATTTAAATCATTGCTCTCCACACCCAGCACCTCCTTTGATGATAAATTAAGTTCCATAATCCCATTAGCATTAAAATTTCTTATACTGGTCAGTGATTCATTCTTATTATTGCCATCTAAACTTTGATCGGTTTGGCTGCATGATGATTTAAAGTTGAAACCATTAGCAAGTGATGGTGCTCCTCCATTGCAATCATTCGGTATGATTTCTTTCTCTCCTGTGTTGCCAAAAACATTTGTCTGACCCAATAAAGCCAGGTTACCAACTGTTTGTTTATCCACACCAGGCAGATGCTCAGAACCTGACAAATTTTCCAGCTCTACACGTCCAACAGATCCAGGTTCTACAGAAGACATAGAAAGTGGGGTTTCTCGAGTATCAGATGTTAAAGGTTGATCAAAAAGATCCTCTTGAGGATGTTGTGAAGCACTGGCATCCGAGACAGCAGAAAGCGGACCATTTGTTGGGCCAAGGGTTGATTTTTGGGTCTGCATACCATATGATTTTACGTCTACACGACTGTTAGAAGATAAATTCTTGGGGGACAAACTAACATTAGGACTTTTAGTCTTGGAATTAGAATTTGACAAATACTTCTGCTCCTGATTGTCTGCATCATGTACCAATCCCTTGGCATCCCTGGCAGCATGGCGAGAAGGAAAAAAGGATTGACCACTGCGAGGACCTGCATCAGTAGAACTTGATCGAGCACCATCACGATTTGGCCGAGACCTAATCCTACGCTTATATGATTTTTTGGGTAGTTCTAGAGCAACAGACTCGCCAGATTCCTTGCCATTACGACCAACATCCAACTGGGAGTAATGCTCAGACGGGGTATTATTCGTACGAGGATGCAGAGATCTTCTTTCAACTTCACGAAACTTGTTATCACCATCAAATAGCATAAGATTATCAGCACTATTGGGTTCCCCAGCTGAAGGAGCCCCTAGTCTGCCGCTACTTTCAACAGAATCTCCATGAGGAGAAGCGGTTATTGCAAAACTGCCTTTCACATCACTATGAAACCATGAGGAAGAAAAAGAGTAAGTTCAGTAATACCGATGATGACATTACAGAAAAATAGCCATTGCCTCATTACACAATTGATATAAACCTTGTCACAAAATGCTCAGGATGTTGATCTGTCAGTGAGGTCGACTGCAGGCTAACAGTTGTTGCAGTCCCAATTTTTAAGTCTAATGGATCACCACCCTGCAAATACCAAGCAACCAATCACGTATGTATACATAAAATGCTTCAAACCTTCAAAAAGAATCTAAAACTAGTTGACCAAGTCGTCATACTTTCTGTAGAAATTCTAATTCTCTTCTAAATTTCTCAGCAGCCGTAAACGTCTCCCTGCGATAAATTTATCCGCAGTGAGCATAATTTGAAGTAAGCAAAAGAAATCAAAGCAAAAACCATCAAACACAAAGAAAAACAACATTTCTACCTAAGCTCTGCCTGAGTTTTCTCAAGATCTGATGATTGCTGCGGAGATGGTGCAGAAGAAATTTCAACTCCACCATCAATAACTCCTCCCATGGAATCAACCCCAGCATCAACTAAAAGCAAAGATCCTGAAGTACATCCATGCATTCCCACTATAATAACCTACAAACGTATTTCTCCCATTGACTCAAGAACTATATCTGTTATAGGGAGAAAGAAAAAGAGAAAACCAAATGATAATACATATATTAGTTGTACACACAAATAAAGCAAATGCTAATAAGACCAACAAATAAAAAGAGGTCTTTAAACATACCAAAAGAAAAAGAACAAAACAACTATTCTAGTAACAACATTTCTAGTCAAGCATGCTAAAACCATAATGCAGACAAAATTTAAGCTAAAACTTCAGTTGAACAGAAAGTTCAGAAAACGAAAAGGACAGTAAACAGTTTGAAGAAGCAAGCCCATATACGAGTAAAACTGTAAAAGATGCCAATACAAAGCATATTTAAATTGAACAAAGACAACATTAAAATAGGAGACACAGTTAAATAATTTCTAGAGGTAAAACTAAGCTGACATGCAGAACTCTGCAAAAACATGATGTTTAGCAAAAATGTGAAATGGAAAACTGGCCTACTAATATAACTAGCCAAGTACACCACCATATGCACACAATCATTTCCATGTTTCGAATAAAGCAAGTGGTTTCACTTACAATGAAAACCTCTTAATCGTTGTAGTACGCAAACTCCTCTTTCAAACTATAGTTTGACCCTAAAAAGGATATTAAAATGATGACAAACAATTATCATGGCCACATTGAGTGGTAACAGAAATCCAACATTTTCTGGTATTCTAAAACTCAACTGCAAATAATCATGAAGTGACAGAAATGATACTCATCACATGATCTTTAATAACAAATGCTAACATCTCAATAATGCAAAACATAATTTCATTAAAGTCACTCTCCTGTGTCCAGGAATAATGCTCAACTTGATAAATTCAGCATAAGGTTGGCAAACTTGGCAACTCAGCATAAAGTCATGCCAACCTCATGATGATTTCTTAGTCGATCCATTTTCACAACCATGCACTGTGATGACAGTGGGTTGGTATTATGAAGTAGGAAAAGACATTAGATGCCACATACACAGTTACACACCACATTTGCCTCAATGTGTTCCACCCAATTAATGGATATAAATTATCAGGAACGCACTGTTGTGCATATATCCTGTCACTTTTAAATACTAATCACCACAACTTTCTCATTGTTCATCACCATCTGCCTACCAAACCCTCGTATGACAGTGTTTGGCACTTGCACATGATAGCTGATAAAATAGCTGAACATGATAGGTTTGAGATATCACAACAGTTTAGAAGCATGCCCAAGCATTAGATAATGGTCTACATGATCATCATATCAAACCAACAATCACAAGGACTATGAAGGGCAGTGGACACTGAAGCTAACCAGCATCTTATCTCAAGAAACAAGACAGTTGAGGCTGGCAAGATCTAAGCCAGATGTATGCTAATGTATCAATGACTTATAGGTTCCTAGTGAGGGCGGGTGATAAAAGAGCAAGAACAGGGAGTTATATATCATCCAATGATTGTGCATGGGGAAAGAAAGATAAGAGACATGACATTTAGCATCCATGGGCCCGCATACTTCTAGTATTAAATGATATTCAAGAGCAAAGTGGACAAACTTGGAAATCATGTGTCGTTATTAGTATAATCATAACATACTGATCATTCAATTAACAAATCCAAGAGACACTATCTGACCATTAATCACCATCAATCAAGGAGTCCAAGACACGTTAGCTAGTCATACTATACCATAATACAATTTATATGATTGCTCAGCAAACTCCTACCCGGGTTCAGTACACTACATGTTCATCATTGCTTGGCAAACTCCTATCCCTGTTCATTACACTACATGTTCATCATTGCTTGGCAAACTCCAATCCTTGTTCAGTACTCCATTGTTCAGTACACTACATAATCTCAGATTAAAAGTTCCTATCATCAATAGCATTATAAAACAGTCATGCTTGAAAACTAACAGAAAACAGAACAACCCTAGTTGCATTCGTTTGGCATTTGATCAAGTTCTATGCATGCATTCAATCAAATTGCATCATTACAACACTGCAATTGCATAATCACACATCCACTTCCCAATAATAAACCCTAGAAACAATTCCCAATAGTTCCGGTTCTAGGGTTTACATAGCATACAACATTTCGTCCGATTCTAGGGTTTCTGCGAGAAATACCTGAATTCCGAAGGGCTCTGCACCACTTTCAAGCTTACAAACCTTTCCCCCCTCCTCCTAGGGCTTTCCTTCGATGTAAGTTGCACCAATTTTCAAATATTCAAACGAATTTTGCCCTAGAAATATAAAACACGATAACATTTAATTGAACACCCCCTTTTTGAAATTGGGTACCCTAATAACACCCCAAGATCATACATACCTAATATTCATGCGTTTCTTTGGTATGTAGATTTGTGTATACAAATGTTGTGTCTTTATGTTTGTTCTTGTTCTTCTTCGAGCTCGACTTTCTCTCTCTTAAGCTTTCTCTCTCTAGGATTTGTAAAAATTTCTTCGTCCTCTCTGTGAGTCGTGGGCTGGACCTCTGCACATGCAAACCGTTTTGGGCCGGGTTTTTTTCATGTTAATTGATCGGGTTCATATGGGGTTGACTTTTCTTTGTTATGGAATTGCTATTCAAGATGGCTACTCAATCTTGTTTCATATAATGATATTATATTTATCTATACTATATTATAAAGTATTTTACAAAAACTCTTAAAAATGATTTTTTATGTATGAAGTACTGTTTATTGATGCATAATACTTAAGATTTAATATTACAAGTAAATTGTGCATAAATACAACTTATTAAAGCTCCATATTTGAATTCGTCTAACTA